TCATTCATGGTGCATTTCTTATATCGGGACAATTGTGATTCATCTCCACATTTGTCTGAAGACCACAGACTGGGCCACTCTGAAGCTGTGTCTGGGTCAGATGTGGGATGTGGGCCACTATCTGAATAGTCCAATTGAGTTCAAAAGCAAAAACAGCATCACTAATGTCTGACACAGTTTATCTCACTCTTTTGAATTCTTTAGTTGAGTAACCAGCAGGCACGGTTTGTCCAACTCTAAGTGGGTCTGATCCTCCATGACTTTTACAGACAACCATTCGGACTTTTACCTGTAAACAAAGTTCTGAAACTGAAAACCTTCTCAGTCACCAGAGGTTGAGTACAGTAACAGGAAGTGCCTTTCTTTGTGCTGACACCATCTGTCGATGCATGCCCGCATGTTTTCCTTGAACCCTGTCCCTGCATGCGCCATCATCCCCCCTTCCTCTGATACCCACCTTCCCTCTTCACTCACCCACATCTAGTTGACAAAATAAATCCATTAGTTCTGAATACAAATTACAAGAATTCCAGCCATATCGGGATTTTTTTTTTCCGACAACTACTTTGTGTCAGGGAGAGCTCCAAGATCAAAGCGGCTGCCCTAACTTAATAAAATTGGAAACATTGACGACAAACAGAATCATTTAGAAGTCATTATGTCATTGAACCAGCAAAAAGGACAAGAGGAAGGGGGGCGGGGGTGGTATTTTCATCCACTAAATCAAAGCAACAGACAAGATGGAGCGCTTCAGCATGATGTGCATGCATAAAAATGTCAACAAAGGCAATTAAGTTAAGGATGAGAAGAGAAGCTTCTCCAGTGAGGCAACAGTGATATTTTACACCAGCTGGAGATGGTGTCACACACAGGGACCTGCTCTCTGAGACAGTCATTACCACTGAAAATATACTGCAGTCTGCAAACACCCTGGTTTTATTTGTTCCCACTGGGCTTTTACCTATGATAACGCCGTATTCTGATAGTATTGTTGTTTTTATATTTCATTTTATTATATTTCAGAAAAATACATTATCAAGTGTCTTCTTCAAGTCCTATCATGCACATAAGTTTATCAGTTTACAAACTTGCCTTCAGGTCTTCACGATGTTAGTACAAGAAATATATATATATATATACATGTACGTATGTTTGTATATACATACATACAGTACATGCATACGAAAGATAACTGGAGTAGAGACATGTTACTGTTGTAAACTGTTGTCTCTGTGATAAAATTAAATTATCAGAGGTGCTAATAGAAAGATATCTAAGACTACTTGAATACAGCTGCCAAAAACTACCATAAAACTGTGGAGAGAATTAAACCAAACTTTAAATATTGGTATTTTTAGGGTTGAGTTGTGATAAACCAAACTGTACCTGGGCTGCCAGCAGTTTTACTATACAATATTTCAATAATAAAACCCTGAAAATATGAATGAATCAGGAAATGAATGAAACAGAACACAAAATGTCAAAACTCCTATTTAAAGTTTAAACTAAAATGATTAAGACAATCTGCATGATTTAGTAAATTAAAATATTACATTATATAAATATATAAATATACATAAAAACCTGGACGCAGTGATGGTTCTGTCTAGACCTGTGGCCATTCTTTGATAAATTTACGAGATTAGATTATTTTGGATTATGGATTATTATCGGCTGGACACAGCTATGACAGAATGGCTGGCTCCAAAACAAGGAAGGTTGATGAAGAAGACAGTTTTTCTTTAGAAATAAATGGTCGGATAAATTCATGTTCATTCTATAAAAGGCTGCAATTTGACCGTATATAGAATAAAAGACATATCACAATATCGTGTGGTGTAGCGTTGACAAAAAAAAAAACACATTGCCGTGACACTGACTGTTTTTTCTGTCTGTTTCTAAACTATTCAATATTTAATCAACCCAAAAATTGAAACACTGCACACTGCACACATTCCAGAAAATGTAAGTGTTCTTAAAAAATAGGCAGACAATGATATAAACATTTCATTTAAGGTCAACAATAGTTCCCTCTGAGTCTTGTTTATTATGTTTTAATCATGTTTAATGTTTAATTATGATCACTGAAGAAAGAATGGGTGATTCAGATATATTAAAAACAAGTCTGCGTCAAAGTCTCCTGATCTGAATCTGCTTCTTTAAATAAAAAAATAATAACGAAACCCTCCTCCTATGTTGTGCAGCGAAAGGAAATATGCTGGAAAAAAATAATGGTGGAGTTTGACAAGTTGTCTTACTTTAAAACTTGAGCTTCGTCACGTCTGCGGAGTTCTCACCTGGCTGAGTGCCGGTGGCAGGGAGCCACGGAGCTCAGCGTTCTCTAATGAGTTAAAGAAAAAGAAAAGAGGTGTTATATATGAACAAAGAGCAGGCAGTAAATCCAGACACTGTCGAGTTCAAGAAAAAGTTTTGGCTGCTGCAGGATTTCAGGCCAGAGGTGGTCAATAATGTGTCTGGCAGATTGGAGAGTAAAAATATTAAACTAATGAAGTCCAGTGTGATTGTCCACACCTGAGCTCCAGTTTCTCAAGTTTGTTAACTCATCATGTTCCAAGTCTTATTTACACCCTTTAGTTTTTGTCTTAGCAGCCAATACACAAACATTTCAGTTAAAGCCCATTTAGTGCCAAGAAGCACAGCCACAGGTCTCAATCACTTGAAGAAAAGTCTTTTCTCATAAATTGTCACTTTCAATGATTTCCAATACTCTGATGGTGGATGGAGACACAGTGCTGTTATACACAAAGAAGTAGAAAAATACGTGTTAGAAACTGCAGTTGTTTTCTTCTTCCTTTTCCTTTGCCTGACTATAATGAATGAATGAAATACTTTTAAACCTAAGGAGAAAAACAAACAGCTCTTTAGAGACTTAAGTGTTAAGTACTGTACAGAAAACCCTGATTTTAAACAAAACAATAATTTAAGTTAGTAGTTTAAATTAACTCTCCATACTAAATACTGACAATGGTTGAAAAGAAAAGAATTTAAACACGTCATTAAGAAGGAGAACTGTGTCACATGTTGTGTAGTTGTACTGTTTGTCCTCTCTGACAAAGACACATTTATTGGAGTGTGTAGGGAGAAAAACTCACCGTGGTTCGATGTCATCTCTGGATGTAAGTCACGTGACGGATAAGCTCTAAACTGAAAAACAAAGTCTCAAAGACAAAAACTGTAGCTGTAAAAATGAAAGGGCAAGACAATAAAAACAGGTTGCACAAAGTCACCGGTCACAAAACACAGCACAACACATAAACATTCAGGCCAAAGTCACAGTAAAACTTGATTACATATTTAATTAATCATCTTGGCATTAAGCAAATACAAAGTAATATGTTATTATTCACAGTGCAGGGCAGTGTTGTGGTCATTTCTTATATCTAACCTGTGTGGAGTACTGATATTATCCCTAGAGCAGATACTAATAGGAGTTTACTCAGAAATATATATACAGACTACTAACATTTTTAAGTTTTCCCAAGATGTTGCTACAAACGTAGGCAACAACATCATCTCTTATTCAACATCATCAGAACAAATTTAAACCTCAGTATCATAAAAATAAGGATTATTTCACTTACAAGAAGATATCAAAAACACATTTTCTTCCCTGAGTTGCAAAATCAGTAACAAATCAGATACTACTGAGGCCGTACTGTCAATTAAAGCTAGTTGATGTGGTTCCAGTGCCCTCTGGGACAAACACGGTCACTGTGTAATCTGGCATTTACCCACTGACCTTTGCAGTTCTTCTGAAAGGGCAGGGTCTTTTCTTCATGCAGTTCTACAGTTGGTATATGGCGTTGAATAATCACGAGCAATCGGACTTTAACATTTTCAACCCTTTGTGTTTTAATCTCTTATTGAGATACAGAACATTTGAAGAGATGTATATTTAATCTTTAGTACACAACGCAATATAAACCTTTACTTTCAGCGAATACTAAGCCGTTTCTATCTCTTAAAATACATTTTAAAACTTAGCAGACACTGTAAAAATATTATTTCTTGGTCAAAGCACTGGCTGCCAAGAGCTCTGTATTACTTCTTTTGCTGATGACACTCAGCTCTACTTAAGTAGTACATGTGGATGCGTTACATATCCACCTGGAACCAACTAAACAAGTAAGCTGTTGACAAATTTGTTTAAAAAATTTTGGTCAAATAATCAAATTAGCAGCGTAAACAATTTGAGTAAAGCATTGTTAATTAGGTTCATAGCTGTGCAGGGATCCCATATGAAAAGAGAACAGTGTTTTGAAAAGAAAAACTGTGGACACAGATTTATAAATTGGTCCAGAATCATCTTCTAACAAAAAAAGGAGAGAAAAACAAAACAAACAAAAAAAAATAAATCACCTTTTAATGGGTCACTGGTGGCTAATAAGCTGTGGTTGGTACAGGAAGGAGATGTGCTGCTTTTACTCCAGACCAAACACGTTTGACTGGCTGACTCAGATGAAAACCGGCGCCTTTCATTAAACATCATCTACAACTGATTGGAGGCTCATTCAAAGCCAGTGCACTTGACAGAGTAGTTATTAATCATTTCTGCTCAGTCTCAATCATTCCATTGGAGTGGGGCAAATCACAGAGTGAGGCTGATGTGTGTTGTTGTCGTCTTTGTAAACATTTAGCTTTTTTGTCAATTAGATTTTTTTTTCTTCCTTTGAAATTCTTAAAAGTGGGAATATCAAAATAAAAAAACAAAATTTTTTTTTGTGGTAATTAATGCATCGTACCATGTGTGACCTGATTAGGTGAGATAAAAGGCTACGACTACTAAGGTCAGAAGGGTCAACCTAAGATTGAACTACAACTGAAAATGTAAACATTTGGTGAAAAATAATCTGAATCGGAATTTGAAAATAATTTAATAGATTTTTTGGGCAGTGGTGGCTTAGTGGTTAGGGAAGTGGACTTGGGTCCGGAAGGTTTGAGTCTACCAGCTGCCAAGTTACCACTGAGGTGCTCTGAGCAAGGCACCGTCCCCACACACTGCTCCCCGGGCGCTTAAAGCTGCCCACTGTTCACTGTGGTGATGGGTTAAAAACAGAGGTCACCTTTGGTTGTGTGCAGTGGTGTGCTGTGTCACAATGACAAGGTGTTCACTTTCCACTTCCAAAATCCTAAGGTGAATCTGTTTCTTTGGTGTGTCATGCTCTTGTATATGAAGATCAGGTGAGTGTGGAGGCTGTGTTCTCAGTTTGACGTTGTCTACCGTGATCACCTAAATGTGTAGATGCTTCAGTGTACGATCAGACCTGAAGGTGTGAAAGATCCAACTGATCATTTCTAAGTCGTCAATGATTCATTTGTTTCAACATCAATAATTCCTAATATTTATTTTCAAGTCCATTTTCAGTGCAATGTTTAAGGCTACATTATTAGACTCTATTGCACGACCCATGTTTGTGTAAACTGCTTTTAAAAACCTAAAAAAAAACCTAAAACACGGTGTTTATCGTCTTAGGCTCCTCATCTGAAGTGTCCACTGGGTTTTCATAGCTCTGGGACTCCTCTTCCCCTTGCTGGTGCCTTGCAAAATTCACAAAGACCTGGAATATCATTGAGAGAGAAAAAAGAAACACAATCAACTTATGAACAAAAGCTCCTCTGAAGCATCTGTGAATATTATACTGTTCAGCTGAAGACAATAGGATGGAGAAGAATTCGATTCCAGACCAACGGTGGTGGTCTCACATCAGGAACACCACTTTATGTTGACTGGTCAGCTAAAAAAGGAAGTCAAACTATAACTATCCGCTCTGTGATGTGCCCATTTACTGCCAAAACACACCAATCCTCAGGTGTGGATGCAAATCAGTGTGGACTTTAACGTGTTGTAAACATCTCTGCAGCTGTTCTCTGTATCTTTCAGTGAGACACAACCCATGATTTCTCTGCAGATGGAAGCATTGAAGGATTATTACTATTAATAATAATAATAATAAATCTTTACTTTTTTTACATGTAAAATAAATGTTTGAAATCTCTGGTGTAACATTGATTGAATTGCAGAATTAAAGATCAAATGTATGTTTATTTGAGCTTTAAAAATCAATGTGCTAATTTTAATTAATTTCTTAAGATTATTCAGATTTAAACCTTTAACAAATTTTAATGCATGTGGTAATATGACACACCATATCCAATATTTGAGTAAATCTTGAAAAGTGAATTGTGAGGGATGGCAGACTGATTAACAATGTTGAGGACAATGGGTTCTCCAAAGTTTTGGAGACAACTCTCACCTTAGTCTACAAACCCCTGTCAGGATGCTCAGTAATGACTAAAATCAGCCAACTCAATGTAACTCTATGGAAATCTTGAATAGGTTTTGCACATGTTATTTAAGGACTTTTAAGGATTTTTTTATTATTCACATATAGAACCAAACTTGCATTTATTTGTATTTCTGTTCCAGCAATATACAGAAAAGGGATGTTAATTAATCTATAATAATGTGATCACGATTAATTCGATCACAATCACGAAAAATTGATTGAATGTGATATATGTATATTATATATATATATATTTTTTTTTTTTCTGAGCAATGAAAGCATTTTGTTCATTAAGGTGATGTATTAAGTTTTCTAAACCCCTGTGGAAGTGGAAACATGGCCTCCTGCCAGTAATTACTCATGTAACACATTTAGTTTATCAGTTTGGCCGTAGCTCTACTTAACGCCTGACAGACCTGACAGTGAAGGTGTTAGTCCCGTCTCCCGTACGACTTCACCACAGAAGGAAAACATTCAAAAAAAGTTTTCTACTGTGTACCAATGCTATAATTCAAATTACTTTTCAATATCTTTTTTCTTTTTTCCATTTGACTTCATCAAGGACAGACTCACTTGGCACAAACACCATTTCCAAAGAAAACATTCCTGACGTTAATCCTTGGAGCAACATGGTACGACACGAATAAACACAACCGGCTGCGGCTTCTGTTGCCCACAGAGCATCTGGGGTAATTGGAGGATATTAAGCTTTTATGAGAAAATAAACAGTGGAAAATGAAAAGTTCAGGAAAGGTGACTTTTCCAGGAACTGTTCAAGGTTTAACTAAAAGAAGCAAATTCAATTAATTACAAATTTCAAAAACTCTGCAACTGGAAACAAACAGATTTTTCCTTCATGACTGAAACAACAATGAAAAACTCTATGTGCAAAATAAATAGTTGATCCAAGAGCTAGTCTTAAAATAATTCTTTAAAATAAATCATTTTAGGGATAAATAACTGCTCCTAAACCAGTGGTAATCAACTGGTGGCCCGCAGGCCAAATCGGGCAGGTCGACCTGTCTAATATGGCTCACAACTGGATTCCAAAATTAATGGATTTAAAATTGCCTTCTCCGTCTGATATTCCACTGTTGTATTTTAACTTGTTCTTAATGATTCAATGTTTTATTGTTTTATAATGCTGTGTTGTTATCTTTGTATTCACTGTAAGGTGCCCTTGGGTGACAGAAAGGCGCCTATGAAATAAAATGTATTATTATTATTATTATTAAACAGTAACGTGAGACCAAAATCTGAATTTTATTTGACTGCCTTTCGCCAAAGCTGCCTGGCCAGACATATTACGGCCCTCTGTACATTGCAAATCCGTGTTCTATATTGAAAAAGCATCAGCTGAGGAACACCTGAGCCCACAGTCTCCACAACTTCTCTTTTTCTAATATAAAACCATCAGTAATGTCGATCACGGTCAAAGTTGCCCGCACATCACATTAAAATGAAATGGGCAAACAAATCCAGACGGTCTGCCCAACTCTCCTGAGTCATCCTGAGTCATGCATTTCAAATTTAAAATAACGTCTGAATAAAAGGCTTAGTTTTCACTGTAACTTTTGGTGAGAGCCTTATTAATGCACCACAGCAACAACTCCCTCATAGTGATGCTATTTTGCTTCCCCCTGCATTTTTGCATTAAGTCGACCATCCAGCCTGACCTGAGAGTCACGCTCTGTTGCTGCTGAGCGACATTCCCCTCATAACAGATGGAAACAGCCATTAATTACATTACACAGGCAGCATTTAGGTGTTTATTTGATGGCCGTTCAGGCAGAACCGAGCCGGTGAAGGACACTGAATCACCCATTTACCTCCTTGCATCGAGTCACGGTGCAATGCAAAAAGTCATCAACATACACACGTGTCATTGCTATGGCCTGAAGGAAGAAATGACATAACTTACTGTATCTGAAAAAGTCACTTGGTATATCCTTGATGAAGTTGCTGCTGTGAGTTCATATCCCTGAACTTCGTTAGAGGTTTTTCTACACACATTTTACAGCTGCACCAATTAACTTCTGGCAGCAATGCAACTTTTGACATGTTTTTTTTTCATGCAAAGTAATGCGGGTAACACGTTAGCAATTACGCCGTGAGCATTTCAAAGCAGAGAAGTGCTTGTTGTTTTGGTCCTTACAGCATCAATGGGGCAGTGAATTAAAAGGGGAAAGTTCTCAAAAAACTATGTAGATGTGCTCCTTAATGAGAATCGAATCACGCAGTTTAATATCAGGGAGATATTAAGGCACATGAGGAGACGTCTTCACCGTCTGCAGATCAACAGGCTCAACATCCAGCAGAAATGGAGCAGCTTAATGCGGTACTATATAAAATCAGCATCATGGAATGAAAACCAATATTTTGGATTTGGATTGAATTTACTCTATTTTTCTTGATGGTAGTTAAATTTCCCAATTCCAAAATTTAAACTAGCTTAACCTGCCGTGTAATATCCACTAGTTGTCTGAAATGCTACCAAACATACAAAAAACTTCCTTAAGTTCAGTGGAAACTTAACATAAATATGAGTTTAAAGTGTCAATAATATTGACACTTTAACCTAATTGGAAAAAAAAACATATTCTCTAAGATGGAAATACATTTTGACTTTTCTATAGGGACTGGAAACTTTTTCATTTTTCTTTCTGGTCCTTTTTTTGTACGTTGGTTTGATATTTCATGCTTTATGTACGTGGGCATTAGTGTCATCTTATTTAAGTAGATGCTGGAAATTAGGAAAAAAAAGACATACTGGATATTTCATCAGAGATGACAGGTCTGACTCATGTGCTTAAATATAACCACGTGGCATTTATAATAAAGGTTGTGGCATCAGAGAATGAACAGCACGCATCAAAGAATAAGTAAGAATAGGTAAATAACTGACAGCTACTGAAATAGTACCGGAAACGTCAGTGCAAATTAAAAGAACAGAAGGGCACAGTGCATAAAAAAGTTGATATTTCAACTAATAGTGAGCATATATATATATATATATATATGTATATATATATATATATATACATATATATACATACATATATATATTAGATTTTGAATCTAAACACTGAATGATTGCTAATCAATGGCACAAAAATCTCTAAATTGATACACCGACATAGCATTTATATTTACTTCCGTAAACACCCAGTGTGATGCGACATTTTCTACTTTAAACAAAGCCAGTCAACACCAAAGTGGGATTGCACAAAAAAATGTTTTGTTCACCATGTTCAACCATCCCATGCTAGCAGAGGTGCAACAAGGTGAAAAAAATCTTTTCACATTGCTGTTGTCTGATCTACTTCTGAAAAACAGGTCAAAAAAGTTGATTTTTCCCCATAAAACGCTCCGTCTCGTCCGCAGCGTCTCCACCATCAGCGTTAGCGCCTCACCTCCCAGCTGCATGGATCAATATTAATTGTAGTGCAAGTCATGTGTTATACTATAGGTCAGGGCGCCTGTCTATAAATCACCAGCTGAAAGGTGACCGTCTGGGGCTCCACAGGTTCTCCTGCTGTCACCTCCGTGACCTCCTCCTCTGAGTATGATTTATTTACTACCTCTGATCTGGTAAATATTGACCAGAGTCGAATGTGGGGTGAGTTCACAAATAAGAAAACAAAAGATTTCAGGTTTAGAGGTAATGGTTTGTCTCAACACTACTGATCTCTGCAGCGCAAACTGAGTCCTGGAGGAGAAACATAATCTGTCTGTAAACCAGACTGGATTAAAGCATTTAGATCGTCATAAATTTCTTTCCTGTAATAGCGGAAAGCTAAGCTCCCCCTGAAGGGTTTATTTTATTTAAATAACATAGCAAAAATAGGCTTTATCTTGAATTAGCACTGTGTTGCTAATGGCAAGCTTGAAATCCCTGTAGTGGTCTTAGTGTGACATAGTTTTATTTTACACAACAAAGCTGTAGAAAAGTTGAGGAGCTAAAAAAAACCAACCCTCGGTTTCTCTCAGACTAATCTTTTCTCTATTCCGGTGGTGGTGCGGAGCCTTGACCTTTCTGGAGAGCCTCAGAGGTCATCCCCATACCCCCTCCCCACCTGGCCATCTTCTGCTGAGCTAATAACTGGCTCACCTAAACAGACACACTCACACTTGCCACTGAGTTCCTGATTGCACCGTGTCCTCAGGGGCTGTGTCAAAAAGACAGTGTGTGGCCGGGCTGGATAGTTCACCTGGGCTGCAGTAAAATATGGGCTGTGTCAAAGCGGAATTTTGTATGAGCGGGTGAATGGATAAAGAAAGCCCACCGTGATCGATACTCAGAGCTGGAGGATGAACTATGGCTACACCAAACTCTGTGTGGACCTCATTGGTCAGACTGACAGCCGGAATGGGGGAAGAAAACGTGGAGGCAGTGATAGATCTACGAATCTTATCCTGGATTGTGCAGACGGGCATTAACAGAGAGCACTTAAAATGCTGAATACATTGATTAATGACTTCATGATCTGCTAAACTGAGCTGTCACTCCGCAGAACCAGGCTGGATTATCTTAAGATCAGTTCAAGGCTAATGCAAAGCCTTAAGACAGCACTGATTTTTTAAATTAATTTTCTTTACTTGTACTACATGACAAAAATTATAATGTTCTAGTGCAACTTACATAGTCTGAAAATTCAGCCCCAAACCATTACAGAGCTGTTGTCATTCATAATGACATAATAACAGATCCTATTTTCCTCCTCTGACAGAAAGTCTTAATTTGAATGGATTACATCTTTGCCTCTTGATGTTCATGTATTCACCAGTAATGTTTGTACTGTACATACTGTACAGTACAAACATTACTGGTAAATACATGTACTAAGTCTACAATGATATATAATTTTTTTTATTACTGTTTTCACACCCACACATAGTTAGCCCTATTACATTGTCGAATACATTTGCACGATACTATATATGTATATTTCAATTGTGTACTGTGGCGTACTGTACCATTTCTTATCTATGCCCTCAGTGGTATCCTGCCTGAGTAAATCCATATCTTAATGACCTAATTATGTCTGTAGAACCCATCTATATTATGCAGAAATATAATATGACGAGTCGTTATAGCTGAGATAACTGATGTAGCCTTAAAAACGACTAAAACTACAAATCCACAAAGTACAATCGACCACAACTGCGACGTACTGTATATCAAAAAGCAACAGTAATGACAAAATAAAAAAAAGTCCTCTTTCCTTAAGGATTCAGAGTTCAGAGTTCAGGATTCAGAGTTCAGTTACTGTTGTACAGATTATCTATGTTTTCCAGTTCTAACAACAAATCCTTTTTGATTGCCATCCCTTCTGATTCTGAATGTCCAGTCTGTCCTGTTGAATTTACAGCATAAGTTTTCAGTCAGTTCATGCTGAGAATGTCTGTTCGACAAAAGCAGCACACACAGTGCAAGTCACTTGGTGCAGATTGTTAGATTCCAGACTGTCTGTCCTCCAAACATCCAATCAAATCACTCAAATTTCCAATGTAACTCTGACCCAGCTAGACAGCCTTGATGTGGCCAACTCAACATCTGATAGGTTAAAAAACACAATGTCACTGCCATTAGGCTCCCAGGGCCTGCATTACTGCTGATTCTGAAGGCCTTAGGGCAGATTTCTTTTAATCTGACAACATGTAAGGCCAAAATATAATAACCTGAATATAAGAGACTGGAAGCCATGCAACCAGAAAGAGAAAAGAAGTGAATATTCTGTATTATTTTATAATAATTCATGATAAGTATATTGAAAAATAAGTCCTGAAACTGTTTAGACGCACCAAAGATTCCATCACTCCTAAGTGAGGGTTTAAAATTTAAACCCTCACTTAGGAGTGTGATGATGTCCACTAAAGTTGGTTGATCTTCTTAGTATATAGAGAACAGTCTGTGGAAGATTAGATTAATAATAGGTAGAAGAAAATATTTTCTCAGTTTCTATCTGTACAAACTGAATACAGTTTATCTTTCTTTTTCACCAGCGCCTAATATTTACCAACACTTGAAAATGTGAAAACATACATTATAAAGTACACACTGTGAGTAAATAACTTGTGAATGTAGAGTACAGTATTTTCTTTTGAGTTGACCATTTTTTCAAATAGTAGGAGTAACCAAAATATTTTTCTAAAAAAAAAACGCTGCCATGATAATGAATTATATATCAGGTAACCTGATGAAAAACAATCTCTTTAAAAATTATTTCCCTTGGAAATATTTCAACATTATACCACAACTATGAGCCACCATAAAACTTTGTTTAGTAAAAAAAAAAAAAAAAAAAAAAAAAAAAAAAAAAAGGTTCTTTGTTCTTACCTGGTCCAGAGTGGTCTGAGACACAGAGTAATCCTCCACACCGAGCGTCTGTTGGTGGCTGATGAACTGGCTGAAGATGTTTGCCAGAGCCCCCGGTGTGTATGGCAGCTGATACTGCAGTGTGTTGTGATGCTTTTCCTTCAGGACACTTCCTGCGAACGTCTGCTCCACAAAGTCCTCCACCGGCTTTAGGGCAGGAGGAGAGCCACCCACACGCACCGTCACCGTGTAGCCATCGCCGAACCTACAGCACACACGTGGAAGTTAGCGCTCAGCTCCAGATACAAGGCGGTTCTCTGTACGGAAGGTTTGATGTAATGACATTTTTTCTACTTTATTCCATTCATTGTCTCTTTGCATTTTCAAACATCCAGTGTTTAGCTGGAGGGCAACAGTGGAAGCCATGAGTGGCAGAGAACAAAAGCAGCACATTCAAAAAAAAGTTGTTGCTAGGTGATGAATAACCCTCATCTCCCATCTTTACAACGTAAAACAACACGATTCACTGCATCTACTGTGAAAAAAACGGATGAAGATCATTATAAAAAAAAAGGTGATTTTAGAAAGTAATCACGGTAGTGCGCAAGGTTACAGCAACCACAACGACCAGCCAACTTCATGCAGCCAGCTATTAACCGTGTGAATCTAATAAATGTTTAATTCTACATTTTATTATTTTTTATCATTTGTTATGTAAAAAGGGGTCATCGGTTACTCTACTCCCACTAGCGCTAAAAAGAATTTCTTTTAGGAATAATTCAAATGTTTTGGGTAAATCTCACCAGCTCAAACGCATTTGTATTGCCTGGAGCAACAGCACGCAGCTGTCTTAAGAGATTCGGTTAACAGAGTCCGACTTTTCCCTCAGGATTTGTTGAAAACCAAACTAGAGCTAAATGTAGAATTGTGAATTTTTATGTTTTAATAAATATGGGTAAAATGAAAAGGACATAACTCACCAGACAGCTTTGATACAATTCAAATAATCCCAAAAAAAAAACCCAAATTTAAATAATCTTTAGAAAAACACATTTAATGATGATAGTACAGGACACAGGAAAAAAAAAAAAAAAAAAAAAAAAAAAAACAACCAAAACACAGTCCTAAATATGTCATCACGCTTTCTGATGAAACCACACTTGACAAAAACTTTGACGCAAAAAAGTGCTGCTGCTAATCTGCAACGCCAATTAGCACTGCATCTCCCCAGTTGTACGCCACGTGTCGGTGAGCACCAAACAGAACTAGGTGCCTTGTTATTCTGTCGTTAGCGCTCTCATGACCCATTGTTTTCTACCTAATTAATTCCCTAATGTTGGATACACCCGTGGACGTGTCCGTTGTGGTCTCGTACTAAGAGTTACATGCAACGGGAGCCATGCTCCATCCAGCCTTCACTGGCAATTAGTGATGTGGTGAATAAAGAGCACAGATCTGCACAGTCCCTAAGCTGGGAAGAGGAAAAGTGAAGCCCTCTGCTGGAGCTGTTGTGCTGGATGACAGAACCTCATGGGACCGAGGGTCCCTTTTGGAAGAGCAGATAAGCTTCAAGATACAAGAACAGAGTTTGAGAAAAATTCTTCTCCATATATAATGTTTATCAAAGTAGGTTACATAAATCCTACATTCCACAAGTCGGTGCAGTACTAATCAGGGTGAGGTGGGGGGTGAGTGATGAAGCTGTTTGTGTTCATTCAATAAGTGGAAAGATAATAGGTAATCAAACAATATTTCCTTCAGTGCTTGAAATTATTAGGACGGAAATGAAATGACTGAAAACCTGTGTGTGACAAAACAACACTCTCTGGATTCTCATTTAGGAGGAGTTGATGACACGAGGAGATAAACTTTAATCTTCACCAACGAATTCAAGCAGTTAGCACGTTTGACAGCCCTAGTAAATAAAACAAACCCATATATCATTACTGTAACTAAAGTCCTCTGCTTCACGTCCACGCAAGACACAGTGTTAAAACATCGTCTTGCAGCAATATGTCGTGTTAGGGAAATGAAAGCACCTCAAAAAAGCAGATATTTGTGTTTTTTTATTTTTTATTCTCTATAATGAAATGAACCTGTCTTCCAGCTCATTTGAAGGATCTAAGGACCGTATGTAAACTCTGATCTTCTCAGGGGCTGTACACTACAGGGGATCAAAAGCGTCCCCCGGTGGAAACTCCAAGACACATGATGTTGCACTCCTCGCAGTGAACAAAGTTTGCACTCTGTTAAGTGAACATCTGCTGGACAGCACTTCAATCCTTTTGGAATTGTTCTTCATGCTGACCTTTGTAAAGTGAAAGGAACCACTCAAAATGAAAAAAAAAATGGATGCAGTGCTAGAATAATCCTCAGAAAAAGGACTTAAAATCTTCATCTATTTCTTTTCAATTACAGAATAAGAAATTAAAGTACAATATATGAAATAAATTCATTTTTGCAGGGTTTCTGATGTCCTCTTTTACCAGCAAAGATTGAATTAAAGGATGCAAAGTGGACCACTTTACTTATCTGCCATTCATAAACTGTGAGACCTATGAAAATGCACAAAAAAAGCATCGTCTCATGTCTAAGGGTCTAAAGTTCCGAGGTGGAGAAATAAATTATGCACTTTGACCATTCCTTCATTCCTTCCTCTTGTAGTTTTCAAAATAGTCAAAATTAGAAAAAAGATCTATCACACCACCAAGTCCAGTATGGACTCTACTGGGTGGCTTTACATTGGAACTGAAATGAATGACTTGATATAAATGGTGCTGATGTATTTGTGCCCACAGAGGTTATAAGGAGGATTATAGGAGTTTAATCCGATCAGCACAGCGTCACTCCAGATCAAAACTCCTCAATCTGCTAACAGGTTTTTTACCCCCTACACTGGTCTTTAATTAAAAACCATCTCTTCTCTCGGGTGAACTCTCACAGACTCAGGAAACTGCTTTAATCCAACCCATTCACAACTCAAGCCAGAAGTTTAAGTTCAGTCGATGGTGATGATTTGAAAGTCATTGGCCACATTGACAGATTCAAAACCAAAAGACCACCACTGTAAGTGTTTATATAAATATGGGCTTTTTCAGATTAGTTTTCTGTTAACCTGATACACTGATGGTGCGTTTATAGGTCTGGGTGTGAGGAAATCAATCACACAGCTGCAGCTCATTCAAAAAGTCTGGTGCTTGACTCTTGGCCAATGCTGAAAAAAGGTGGATGATATCCCTGCACTCCTTCTTAGACCTTCACACTGGCTTCCTGTCTGTCAAAAAGATTGATTTCCAAATATTGCTCTCGGTTTATAACGCACTGAATGGGTTTAAGAGCCGGAGCACGTCCATGATTGGCTGCGTTGTTATGAAGCCCCTTCCAGACCTCTTCAGTCGTCTGAGACACGTGTGCCTTCTGTCTACAGAGACTAAATTAAACAGGCAGCAGCCGTCTGCAGCTTTTATGCCACATGGATGTGATCAAAATCTCATAGAGTCAAATCATTTTGGTAAATATCAGACCACTGAGTGTGAATATTTATGACAAAAGCCTCGGACATGAGAGCTGCGCTGTCGCTTGTTTTAATTTAATAATATAAACTAATTGCCCCTGTTGAAGTGGTTGTTTTCACTGTTATCTGTCAAAGGGCAAAGAGTGTTTTATTTTTTGAAGGCTTCCTTTAAAGGTCAATTGTGTAAAAATGAGTGACCTCTAATAGAGGAATGTAGACAAGAAAAGCAAATTAATTCATTTTTAATCTTTTTTTATAAGCATTTTAGAGGTTTGGTGATTAGTCTTATAGAGAGATGTTAATTAAAGGCTGCCTTTACATAACTTCATTGTTATGTGCAGATTACAGAAAATTCAAAGTAATATACACACACCTATGGTGGCGTATTATTTTCCTGACAGTAATAATCCATAATTGGAATACTGTGTTCCTGCACAACTGGTCTGGCACAGAAACTTTGAACTGAGAGAGAGAGAGAGAGAGAGACAGACACTATAAACACTATAGTATGACGACACTCCAACACTACTGTCAATATGACAACACACACAAACACACACACACACACACACATCAACACAGTGAACTTCAAATTAGAATTATGAGCATAATCCTCCTCTTAAGTTTAATATGTGGGTGCAGAAAATGTGCTTTATTCATTTAATTTAACCAGCATGTGCAGAAAATTAAACAAATCCAGGAAAAAGAATGATTTAGAAGAATGGATGTGTTGGTCCTGAATCTCTTTTGAACTTATTCCACCTCTTTGGTGTATTACTTTTGTTTCTTTTTAATGCAGCCACAAAGCAGCTTTAGGCAGCGCTTTGGGAAGAGAATATCCTCCTTCCATATTCATCATTTTTAGCATATCTCCATATTCACAACCAAACATCTCTTTCATCTTTGGTTCACGACTGTCTGTGTGTCCTCAAATGGAGCGCCTGTGTGGGGAAAGTGTAATTTTAGAGTCTGCGCGTGGTCGTGGCTGAAGCGCTGCGTGCTTTAAGCAGCTAATTATCCTTTAACTGGAGACTCGTGATTTAAAGTACAGCAGCAAGATTTGGCAATTTCAGTGGAGGACAACTGTGGAGAAAAAAAATTTAACGGATTGTGCTGTTGAACCCCACATCCCACCACATCAGAGATGCACACAGCAGCTGAGAACAGCATGGCCGAGCCATGTTCGTCATGTTCGTGCTGCTGCAGCTCCCTCTTCTTCATTTTCATTATTCCTGTTCAATCCTCTCCTCCACCCTGGTCTGCTGGAAAGTCGTTGTTCCGTGTAATTTAAAACAAACAACGGCCAGACATAGATAAGGCCACGACTGGCAGGAAGTAATTCTGCAGCCGTCCTTCATCTGAGGGGATTCTGGAAAGGTCACCCTCACCGCTGACAGACCTCGTATCTTGGTCCACTGGGGTGAGGGTGGACGTGGGGCAAAGGGCCACACTGTGGCTTAGGTGGTCCGATGCTTTGATCCGGCAGGAAGGCATCCAAAAAAGTTCCTGGAGGGGGGGCTCACACAGCTCCAGGCAGGAGCGACACAGTCAGAATGGAGACGGGAAGATGGATGTATGGGTTTTTATCTAGGGTGAGTCAGGTGAAGGTAAAAAAAAAAAAGTACGCTAAAACACATTTTTTGTTCGTGTTTATCTGCTAAGGGATAAACAGTAATATGTGTACAATTTTAAAACATGAAAAGCTACATTTACATGTAATCTCATTGGACACATTATCAATCTTTGAAACAGTTCGGTGGTACTGATGTTAAAATAAAAAGGGTTTTCCTGAAAATACTGAAAAGTTTAACTGAAAGTCAAAATGGAGAAACAGCATAAATCAAAATTAACACTGCTATAATAATAATATTCTTATTAATAATATTAATAACAACAACAACGGATCCAACCAATCTGTTATTGGCCTTTAGGAGTGAATCAAGGACAAAGACTGAGTGTATGCCAATGACCTTCTGCTCCTGACCTTACCATGTGACCTTAGCTTGCAGTTTGGGAAACAATATGAATCCGTATGTGCGACCCTGACTTGTCCTCAGTTTGGGCTTTATTATGATTGCTAGCATCTGTGTACCTCAAAGCTATGCAGTATAAACACAATGTCTGCCTGCTGCACTTAAATGTGATTTAACATGCACACCGTCATCTGGCTTGTAAATATTTTTACTGCAGGTCTTTCAAACATGTATACCTTGAGAAATATATAATGAAATTACTACATAAACAGCATTTTGGCAGCTAGAGAAGAACACAATGTAACTACCAAGTCCTGCATCTCAACCCAGTCTAATACAGAACACATACGTGGAATAGAGACATTTTTAGAGGCGACAGCTCTCAGGATACACCGGGTGCATATACAGTCACAGTCTACCATCTGTGTCTGTCAATGTCCTTGCCATCTTAATTACACTTCCACTGCCCAACTGTTGTAAACCTTAAAGAGACTTATTTTGTCATCTACCTCTGTCTGTGACATGCACTTAAGAGCCGTGAACCATTTTGTTATGGCACACCTGCAAAGCTGATGCCGACGGCAGTTTATTGGACTTTCGACGTCCATTTTGATCCACACTTTTTCGATGGTGCTCTTGTAAAAACTCTCCTTTGCTACTAGACCCATTAACGTAATACATTTAAGGCACTTCAGCCTCTACTTTTATATCATGACGCGCTTAAGGCAAGTAGGGGAAAAAAAATAAGACGGTGGGCTGTGGTGTGTACTTACTCAGAGTACTCTATGATTGAGGGAGTGTGAATGATATGAATCAGGGGGGAAACATCCAGCCACAGCGAGTGGATGGCCTTCCAAAATGACAAGATTACAGGGGAGCTTTTGAAGCTGCCTTTATTGGTTCCTTCAGTTCACTTTTTTATTCCTTATTCCTTTGCTAGTCTGTCACTTTGGCATAAATGTGTTGAAGCGTGAATGATTAGGGCGGCTCACTATCAGGACAGGTAAGTGGGATATATTTAACAATCATAAAGGAGGATAATA